TATTTGTTACACAAATGCAAAACTTGTTATTTAAATAGTAACTGCTGACATGGACATAAGTTACTATGACAATGGTGTTCTGTAAACAAGAGATGAATAGTCTTTGTCAAGAATAATTGTGTGCATTTTTGTTATTGATTTCCTATCTGCATTTTCAATTTTTAACATTGGTTATAAAAAAGAATTAGTAATATGTAACAATTTTTTGGTTCTCCAACATTGCTATTATTCTCTGGAAAGTATATTCATATTAGAATTTTTGAAACTGTACTTAAGATGACAGGCTATGGTATTTTTCCCTCTAAGATTAATAATCACATGATTCAGAAAGTTAAATCACTATTAAGTGAATATTAAGTTCTCTTACCTTTCGTCAATATTTGTCATAAGGTAAATTAAATATCAGCCCCCTTATCTCTTGATCTTTCGTATCCTCTTCTGTACACCAAAATCTACAAAATCTGTATTGCTTTTAAAATATATCTATCAAACTTTGATACTCTTCCCTTCAAGGGGTGCATCTTAATTTCTTCCTGAATTCCTTAGTGACTTGCTTCTAATAATGAACAAAATTAAGTGGAAGTGAAGGAATGTGACTTTCAGACTACATCACAGGGGGCACCTTTCTCTCCCTCAGATTCCTTACTTTGAGTGAAGTTAGCTGTCAGATTGTAGAGAGGCTCATGTGGAAAGGCTTCCTACCAACAGTCATGTGAGTGAGCCATCTTGGAAGTAGGTCCTCCAACCAGTTAAGCCTTCGATGACTGCAGTCCTTGCCCACACCCTGACTTCAACATTAGAGACCCTGAGTCAAGACCACCCAGCTAAGTCACTCCAGAACTCCTGATCCACAGAAACACAGATAAAATTTGTTGTTTTAAGCCCTGTTTTAGGGTAGGTCTAGAATAATATGATAGATAATGTAAAAGACTGCAAAATATCGTGGTGTACAAAAGACCAAACTAAGGTTTCCATTAAATTGAGTATTTGCTTCCCTACTGTCCAAGTAGAGTACTACAGGTCATCTAATGACAGAGGCTTTTTCTTTACCTTTTTCTGTCCCTTTAGGAGTCAAAGGATTTTTTGCATGCTTTTTGTGTAGAAATAACATGAATAGAGACTGACCTGTAAATTTCATGTTTCTTAAGTAAAAATTTCTAAAAGGCTCTCTTTCCCCTTCAAATATACCTCTTTCCTCTATGTCTCATTTTCTAAGGCAGCCACAGTGGCCATTTGCCAAAATGTCCACAAGTCGTTCCCTTCTCAAATATCCTGACAAAACAAAATCCTAAACAAAACAAATAGTCTAAAGAAAACACATTCTCAAACCACCCACCAAACAGAAGGAGGAAAGGACTGTGGGTGGCTTGTAGTGGCTTCCTTCTGTTACTGGTTCAAAGCATTTCTATTAACTTACTAATTCATTATAGAACTTAGGCCAATTGACTGGGAATGTGATTTCTAGAAATGGATTAGTTTTGCTGAAGACCAATAATATTAAAGCATAAAAACAGAATAAAAAAGAATCATACCATCACCTTAACCATTTCTCTATAAAGCCTTCTAGTTCTCATTCCTGTGGGTGCATACTTTTATAAAATTGCAACCAACTGAGCCAGGCTCGATGGCTCACGCCTGTAATCCTAGAACTTTGGGAGGCTGAGGCTGGTGGATTGCCTGAGGTCAGGAGTTTAAGACCAGCTTGGCCAACATAGTAAAATCCCATCTCTACTAAAAACACAAAAAATTAGCTGGGCATGGTGGTGGGCACCTGTAATCCCAGCTACTAGGAAGGTTGAGGCAGGAGAATGGCTTGAATCTGGGAGGCACAGGTTGCGGTGAGCCGAGATCGCGCCATTGCACTCCAGCTTAGACAACAAGAACGAAACTAAAAAAAAAAAAAAAAAAAATTGCAACCAACCAACATGGATTTTTTTCACTGTGGAAGAAGCTTGAATATAATCATATATTCAGAGTTATTTAGGTTTCACCTGTATTAGCTAAAGGTGAATTATAACTTAAGTGTAGATCAACACGTAGGTCAATGGAACATATTTTAATTTCCATTGCTTGGAACATACACATATTACACATAGATCAACACATAGGCCAAATGGAACATATTTTAATTTCCATTGCTTGAATGGCCAGCACTTTTTCTAAATAGGCCTAATTTTTTACAATAAGGATACAGCCAACTCTCCAATATTCAATAAATCTAATTTATCCATTCTTTTAGAATATATTTTTACTTTTCTTTAATCCCTTATATGTTTAGTGCTCATTAGCACTTTGGCTAGAGATATATAATAGGAAAAGAGAAAGGTGAAATACGAGACAGTTAATTTTTATTAAATGGTTGCAGTCAAAGAAAATTGAGTTGATGAGCTATTCAAAGTATAAAGATGTGGCTATAACATAAACCTTTCCCCTATTAGAAAAGATAATTAAGAGAACTCACTGAAGTTAGATTTATTCCTTTCTCAGAGCTTTACTCCTTACTTGGAGATTTTTTTCTTACTGTCTGCCCACAAATATAGTTACATTTGAAGCAATATTACTAATTCTTGGCACACAGGCTATCTCTGAAATGATTTCTGTTACTTAAACTTAATTTCATTCCAGGTATCCAGATATATTTTTCACAGATAAAATACTTATCTTACAGAATTTAAACAAACATAATTTTTAAAAGATTTCTGTTGAAGTTCTAGTTTGGATACTTACTGACTGACAATAAACTTTTGTGAATGACAAATTATCCAAATTTAAAATAAACAAAACTATTAATATATCTTAGATTTTTTCACATCATCCCTTTTGTTCTAACCAAGGTTTTATTTTAAAAACTATATTCTACATACTATAAACTGGAGATATTCTACTACTTTCAAATAAATGTTATAAATGGAATAGGGATTTGGATTATTAAATTTATGGTAAATAACGGCATTTGGAAGACACTGAAACAGGAAGATTATACATATTGTTTACTTAAGCACTAAATTTATGTCAGCATTTATAGTAATTCAACAATTTTATAATGTACTACAATAGACCTAGTAACAAAATTGTATTTCAAAAAGTCAGAATCATTGTTTCTCAATTTCCTCTTTTGCAAAATAAACCTAATTTATTTCAATGGTTTCTTGTATTTATCAGCATTTTTAGATAAATGAAAATTTGAATGGGGGTGAAGAAAACTGAATGACTCAAATAATGGTTTCAAATAAAAATATATGTACTAAGGGGTACCAGGAGAACTTCTTAGTCTAAAATTTTTATTTATAGAAAAAGCTCTAAAAATTGGATTTCTCAAATTTGATATTAAATAATAAGATAGTCTTAGTTATACAATCAGTAACTAAGTAACCCTGACAAAGTTAAAATTTCCCACTTTATTTAGAAGGAAAGAAATAACTATAGCACTCTTGACTTAATTGGTCTTGTTGATATTAAGAAACCTTACTTGCTAGCTATTTTATTCAAAATATGTATCATCTCTCTAAAAGCCAACTCATCTCATTAAAAATATCCTTTTCAAACTTACAAAATTTCAATGACTTGTGAAAACACAGAGAACAATATAAGATACACATATATACTACCAAGTTTATAAGGGTTAACATTTTGCATACCTGCTTAACTCTTCTATTAAAAAAAAAGTTACAGATATAACTGAAGTCCCCATTAGTACTTTCTCAGATATCCCAGTCTCTTTTCTTGCCAGTTCTAGACTAGAGGTGATCGTTTTTCTAAAGAAGATGTGTGACCTTCCTGTCCAGGTTTTTATACCTTTATTACATATTTGTGTTTTCACAAACATTAATGTTATATTTTAAAAACGACACCAAGTATTCTAATTAACCAGGCTGTGCCTGTAGAATTACTTGAACCTGGGAGGTGGAGGTTGCAGTGAGCTGAGATCGCACCACTGCACTCCAGACTGGGCGACAGAATGAGACTTTGTCTCAAAAAAAAAACAAAAACAAAAGACAACAACAACAACAACCAGCTACATAAAGTATTCCCATTTTATCATTTTGTAATTTCCATCTTTACTTCACATTGCTATTGAAATTTAGGCAAATTTATATTTAGTATATTTTAATTTTTCTCAAGAGTTTCTAAAGATAGCCTATTCTGTTATTGGTGTATACTTAGGTTGTTTCTAACCCATGTAGCATAAATGTCCTTGTATATGTCTCTTTGCAGATATGTAGTATTTCTTTCTATATTACTTCAAGAAAGTTTTGCTTAAGCTAGTAGAATAGGTTTTTCTTTTTATAAACTAAGAACGGACAATTGAAGAAAAAACTAGAAAGCTATTTTCTAATTAGTGTCTTACTATTTAGCCAATTTTAATCTTCCATTTCATTGTCTATTTATACACACACACACACACACACACACACACACACACACACACAGACACATGTACAAATGCATGCATTTTTTGTTTTTGAGACAGGTTCTCACTCTGTGGCCCAACCTGGAATACAGTGTCATGATCAAGGCTCAGTGCAGCAGCCTTGACCTCCTAGGGCCAAGCAATCCTCCCACCTCAGCCTCCTGAGTAGCTGGGGCTATAGGCATGTGCCATCCTGCCTAGCTATTTTTTTTATTTCTTGTAGAGATAGGAGTCCCCTGTGTTTCCCAGGCTGGCCTCAAACTTTTGAGCTCAAGTGATCCTCCCTCCTTGGCTTCCCAAAGTGTTTGAATTACAGGAGTGAGTCACTGTGCCCAGTCCTATTTCTTTGTTAAATATTTTCTTTGTCGAAATGCTTGTGATATAGAAAAAGGTCAATAGAAAATACAAAAACTTAGCCTTTATTTTTACTTGGAAATAGTTCTTCTATTTAGAAACATTTAAGTCACACATTTGTATACATGGAACTTCTATTCAGAATTCCAGTGGTAGACCACTTCAGAAAAATAAATGAGGAAGCTATGTTACGCATCAGCATTTGGATGCTGCTTTCTGCTGAAGCAATGTCTACCTTTGGTAGTTTTTCTCTTGCTATTCCTGAAATCGCTTTATCATGTGGCTGATCAAGAGTCAAATTATTCTTCCTTGTTTCATTGTCTTCAAGCAGAGGAACACAGCCATAACTCTTATCTGCAAGACAAAAACCTCTTGGACATTAGTAGAAAACCCTTATTTTTGGTACTACCTGAAAAAGCAAAAATAATACAAACTCAAAACCATAAAGATAATAGACTTTTTTTTTTTTTTTTTTGAGACAGTCTCTCACTCTGTCACCAGGCTGGAGTGCAGTGGCGCGATCTCAGCTCACTGCAACCTCTGCCTCCCGGGTTCAAGCAATTCTCCTGCCTCAGCTTCCTGAGCTGGGACTACAGGCGCGTGTCACCACCCCCAGCTAATTTTTGTATTTTATTAAAGACAAAGTTTCATCATGTTGGCCAGGATGGTCTCGATCCCTTGACCTTGTGATCTGCCTGCCTCAGCCTCCCAAAGTGCTGGGATTACAGATGTGAGCCACTGTGCCCGGCAATGGAATAGATTTTAAGATAGAAATTTTAGAATAGTTACTTTGACAAGTTGTCTGTTTATATTTTTTCCTTCCCACTAAACACACAAAACCCCTACTCTCCAAAACCCACTAGTATGTAAAATATACAGAATTTAGAAAACTAGAAATATGCTCTTTGCATCTGTCAGCAACAATTCAACTTTTTTATGTCAGATTTTCAGGTATGCATTTCTTATTTAAGTAACTATTTGTATTATGACTCCAAGCTTATTATAGAAAAATTAGAAAATGCAGACATGCCAAAAAGAATAAAAAGTAAATGCTACCCAAATTTTTATTAGCTGTGAATTGTTCCTGTTAATATTTTGATTTATATATTCTATCAGATTTCTTCTTTTCCTAAACATATAAATTCACACAAGAACATCTTTTTCTGCATAAATGAAAATAACACTTATTTATGTATCCTGCTTTGTTCATTTTGCTATATATTGTGAACATATTCTTACAAGTTAGTATCTATTATCATCACTTTTCTTGGCTACATAGCTATTCATATAGATCACTGTAACTTAACTATTGAATATTTGTTTCTAGCTTTCCATGATTAAAAATTACACTGTGATACACATCCCTGCCTATATAGTTTCGAGTCTTCAACACATCTTTTCTTATGATATAGTCTTAGGACTTGAGTTTCTGGTTCAAAAGGCACAGATGTTTTCAAAAGCTTTTGCTATTTACTGGAAAATTGCTTTTTAGGAAGTTTTATAAATTTAGAGTTCTACCATATAGTATAGTATATGTGAAAGTTTACTTTCCCATATCCTGCAAGTGTTCATTTAAATAAACATAACATATAACGGTACCACAGTTACAATATCATAACTACTGAGAAACAAGGAAGGAATAAAATAGAAAAACTCAGCTTACATCTTCCTTTTCTCCAAGAGGTTCTAGAAATATATAAAAAAATAACATGAACATACCTTGACTGGAATTCACAAGAAGTAACTGTGATTTTAGCTTGTCAATAATAGTTTGTTGAAGTGACAGCTGTTCCTGTTGTTCACGTATTCTCTGCTCATAGTTCTCAGTCTGCTGACATAAAAACAAGTTAGCCTGATATTTACTGACAGAAATGAACATATATTTACCATCCATTAATAATAGAAATAGATATGAGTTGCCCACACAGTCATTTCGCAGGTATTGTGGATTTATTTATGAGATTAAAAACTAGCTTCAGGAATGTACTTTTAATTGTTATAAACATCACTGATTTAAGACTTAAAGCACTGTAAAAGTTTTAAAAATTATCCTATTTAAAGACATTTCAGTCAAGGATTCAATCTATGATTTCCTGATCCTTCAGTAAGGATCAAAATTGAAATTTAGCATTATTCCTTAATGAAACAAAAGCATGAATGATACAACAGATGCTATATTAAAGTGATTCTTTAAAAATACTAACTTTAAAGAATCAGATTTTATGTATTTCAAATAAACACATTTTTGAATTTATTTTTAGAGTACACAAATGCTAAGGAAGTAGCTATAACTATGACACTATGAAAATCAAAGGGGCAAATACAAATTATAAAATTATACTGATAGAAACTTCTCTGCTAAGTTTTCAGAAATTAAGAGAACACTGGCTGGGCATGGTGGCTCATGCCTATAATCACAGCACTTTGGGAGGCCGAGGCAGGCAGATCACCATAGGTCAGGAAATCGAGACCAACCTGGCCAACATGGTGAAACTCCGTCTCCACTAAAAATACCAAAAATTAGCTCGGCATAGCAGCAGAGTCTGCAATCCCAGCTACTCAGGAGGCTGAGACAGGAGAATTGCTTGAACCTGGGAGGCGGAGGTTGCAGTGAGCTGAGATCGTCCTATTACACTCCAGCCTGGGCAACAAGAGCAAAACTCCATCTCAAAAAAAAAAAAAAAAAAAAAAAAAGAAATGAAAAAAAAAAGGAAATTATGAGAACACCATGGTTGACCCCTTTGGTGTCTATCTTAAATGCCATAGTTTCCCTTATATTGTTAATCCATTCATTTTGCTATTTTATTGCAATGGCTGTGAGAATAAAGCAATGACAAAAGACACAAGTTTGTACTGAGGAATACAGATGCTGCAAACCTTCAAGCAAATTTGAAACTGTTGTACCACAATTACCAAATTAGTACAGTCTTAAAAACATATCACCAAACAATAACAGAGAACTTTTGTTTTAAATACCAATTTCTCTCCCTGGAGGGACAAATAAATAATGACTAAGTTGTAAATTCCTTGAAATATAAAATGGAGTCCTAATAATCTCAGAATGACATTCAGTAGATACTAGACATTTGACTTTAAACTGAGTCTTAAAGTTCAAAATTACTGAAGCTCTATTATTTTCAGGGACCAATAAACTTAATTTTTCTTTTCTTTTCTTTTCTTTTCTTTTCTTTTCTTTTTTTTTTTTTTTTGAGATGGAGTCTTGCTTTGTAACCCAGGCTGAAGTGCAGTGGTGTGATCTTGGCTCACTGCAACCTCTGCCTTCCAGGTCCCGGTTCAAGCAATTCTCCTACCTCAGCCTCCCAAGTAGGTACGATTATAGGCATGAGCCACCATGCCCAGCTAATTTTTGAATTTTTTAGTAGAGACAGGGTTTCACCATGCTGGCCAGTCTGGTCTTGAACTCCTGACTTCGTGATCCACCCACCTCGGCCTCTCAAAGTGCTGGGATTATAGGCATGAGCCACTGCATCCGACCAACTTAAAATTTTTAATAAATTACATAGCTGTTCATAGATTAGCAAATATAAATCAGCTTAAGAAATTAAAGCAAAATACACATTTTCCCAAATAAAAGGTGAACTTTTATCAGTAATATACTTCAGATATGAATAACTGACAAAGCTGATAAGCAATCCATGTAGGGCACTGTCTTTGCACGTTGCCTAAAGGCTGTCTTACATAATTTGACATTCCCCACAGTGTTCATACGGATTAAATGACTTATACAAAGGAGGTATTCAGTGCATGCTCACTGAAAAATTTAAAAAGGTAATACAGATCCTAAGTAAATTTTCTTATTATGAACAGAAGAATGAATCATTTGAGTCTATCTGAAGCATATGCCCAATGAATATGTCTCAGAATTGATCACTGATACCCAAGTCTAGTCTAAGGCCTGGCTTCCCAGGATAAGACATCTTGTTCCTTTATAAATTCACAACCAACCCCAAAGAAAGAGTGTGGTAAGCTGACTGAATGAAGGATCCAAAAATCTATAGCAAATTATAAATACCTTAGATTTACTTGGGCTATACAGTGCCACCAGGGCTGAAGAATCAGCAAACAAGTTACAGTCATCTCTATATATTTCTGTGTTAATTAATACTTAATAAAGTATTATAAAGGTCAACAGCAATGGTTCTATTTTCTCTGCTATGGGAAATAGAATAACAAGAATCTATGTTTTCCTCCTATACTTTTCACATACTTATGTTCTAGCAGTTATAATATTCTAGTCTAATTGTCTAATGTCTCATTTCCATCTAGACTGAACTTCTCAAGGGTGGAGATTATTTCCTCTGGTATCTCCAGAATATTACAGAGTGCCTGGCCCATATTCCCATATTGGGATGCTCAGTAAATATTAGTTGAATAAACAAGCTAATTAAGTTATTAAATAAATATCAGAATTGAGCATCCCATGCTGCTGCTCTGCCTATGGAGTAGCCATATTCTTTTATTCCTTAATTTTCTTAATAAACTTGCTTTCACTTAAAAAAATTTATCAGAGGAATAGATATGCTTTCAGAAGTGATCTGAAGGAATGGAGAAATGACTTTGCTTATATTTCTCTAAAGGAAACAGGAAAAATAGAAACAAGGTCAGCAGGTAAATAAGACAAAGGGAAATTAAGTTTGAGAAAATAGATGTAAAAGATAGGTAATGTTTGAAGATTTTTTTTTTAGAACAATGGAAGCTTACACTGTTAGAAAAAAGGTAGTAATTTAAGAAAATGCATATTCAGAAAAGAGTAATAAGATTTTGATAACAGATTATGAGAGGGAACGTCCAAAAGGAAATATTCTTTCAAATTGGGAAATAACCAGTAGAATTTGGTTTATTTGCTGTTTGGAAACTAAATGAAACTAGTCTTATTTTCATTTTGCAAAATGCTTTTGTTCACTGAACATATCTGCTTAAGGTTAAAACCTGAAAAATCCTTTTACAAGGTCAGATTATTGTTGCACAGTCATAGTATTTTTTTTAAATACAATTACAAAGCAAGTACATTCCAGCACTATCAAAGACCCTACAAAATAGAAAACTCACTAACAACCACATTGAAAATGTACAACAGCAATGTCTTGTCAACACTTCTGTACAGAGCACAGACATGACAGCTAAAACAGACAGAAGAGAAGATGCTTTTGACAGCCAGTGTGTGTGAATGATTCTTTGAGTCAGATGGCAGCAACAAGTTACCAACTAGGAGATCTGCATGACAACTAACCATCCATCTGTATCAAACACCATCTGGCCAAGATGACTCTGGCTTCTGTGTATGTGACACTCCTTCCAATTTCAAAGACTAGCAAAACAAGTGGTCTACCAGCATCTAAAGAGGTAAACAGGTGCCTACATACTTGTGCTATAAGTTACTTTGCTTTTTATTTTATTTATTATTATGTTATTTGTAAAGAGACAGGGTCTTGCTATGTTGCCCAGGCTGGTCTCAAACTCCTGGGCTCAAGTGATCCTCCTATCTTAGCCTCCCAAAGTGCTGGGATTACAGGCATGAGCCACCATGCCTAGTCCATATGGTTAACTTTGTATTCTTTCTTAGTGTTCAAAAGTAAAACTTAAAACACTGGTGATCAGATAGAGCACACATCCTAAATTTATTAAAAATGGTTGCCCATATTCTTGACTATGATAAACAAAACAAAAAGTTTATTTTTAAAACTGCCCTTTTATCCAGACAAAATTTCAATATTTCCTCTTCAAAACTAAGGCAGCATATTTCCTATAATTTTGTATATTTAGCTGTTTAAATTTTCATGAGTATCATAAATATTAAAATAGTTTCATAAACTGAATTTTTTCCTATTGCTGGCATTGAACATTTTTTTTAATATATATATTTTCCAAGGCACTTATTTCTTATGTAGGGGAAAAAAAAGTTTAAGTGCTCTTAGGTCATCTACAATATTCTAAGTTAAGTCAAACATTTCTGCTCATCCTCAATAACTAACTTCAATATTCTAAAAAATATAACTGCTTTCCTCCAAAGATTTATTAAGGAATTTAATAAATGTGGAATGGATTGAAAAAAAATGAAATAGTCCCAATTTAAAAAGCTTTCAAATTGTTCCAAGGTTAACAAAGAGAATGAAAGATTTACTGAGGGATTTGCTTAGATACCACAAATGTTCTCAATAGGAAGCTCCACAGTTCATGAAGGAAGATAATTAAATATTAATTATCCTAATACATAGCACTTTAGACAGAAACTAATTAATTTAGACACAATCTAATTAAAATGCATCTTGAAATTTTGGTAAGGTAAGAATCAACTTCAATTTTGAGTTTTCTTTAAAAAGTATGAGATTAAACAGAATCAGCAACTTAGAGATCCTGGCTTACACAGGTCTTTCTTCAACCATTTTCTGCCTACTAGGTTAAAAGCCCTGTACGTTTCCCATCCTCCAGTACCAAGACTTATCTAGAAGATCTCCAATTTGACAGAGTAGATTTCCAATCTAATTATCTACTTTTATAAATATAAATTGCCACCAATTTCTCAGCATGCCAAATGGTAAAAAATGACAAACTTTTTTTATTTTACAATCCTGTGCTTTGGTCCTGATTAATTTATTTGCCTCTTTGAGCCTTTCCCTTCTTCCTCTTTAAATAAAAATTATACTTACATGAAGGATTGAAAAAGACAGAATATATAAAATATTTGTCTCACAATATGCTCTTTGCAAAAGTTAGTTCCTGTCTTTTAACAATGAGCAAGGCATCTACATATCTAAAGCTGTGGGAGTGAGGTCAATGCAGAGAGTTGCCATCTGGGCAATTCCTAGA